ACAGCAGCACGATGAGTCCTTCAGAGACCAGAAAACCAAAATAGACGAATTACAAGCAAGGTACAAATATGTTATGTATCGATCTGTTTACAGTGTGTAAATGGTGCTAAAAATGCAGTGAATATTTTCTGGATGTTGTAACGCTCAATATCAAAGGTATACGCAAAACGTTTACGCCTTGTTCTTTCTGTAGCACTTTTTTTTATTCAAGGTGGCTCAAAATGGTTCTTAGCACTTTCCAAGACGTATATTTTGATGGATCATCATAACCACTCTTGATCTGTTGACGCCACGATCAGGGTATCAAAAACTGCCCATGCCATGAATAGGGCATCAACTGATAAAGAGTGGTAATTATTACCCATTAAAACTAATACGTCTTGTAAAGTGCTAGAAATTTGTTTTGAGCAACCTTAAATCCTCAGAATCGCATTACCCATCCCTACTGCGTACCATTTTGCTCGCACACGAGTGCTTGCACAAACACAGCATCAAGAGCTTTCCTTCAGGCTCGACGGCGAAATAAATGCTACAAATGGCGAAAAACCGTTACTCAAGGTGCAAAATATCTTGAAAACAACGAGTCGAGGAGCTTTTTGAGTCGATGTCGGTCATTTCAAATTGTGTGAATGTCCCATAGATTATTGTTGCATATGCTCGAGAATTTCACCCATCAAGTTTCTATTTGAGCCTTTCTTTGAAAAACTTAGCCTCCGGCTAGGCTACCGCAAAATGTAACGTGAACCGATGAAATAACGCACACAACTAGGCACAAATGGGGTAAGTATGGCCCATCATAACTCTTTTTAGCTTTTCCGCATTCAGGCCGAACGTAAATTGCCTCCTTCGTCGAGTTTTTGCTCTCGCTCCAATTTACGTGCGACCAGAATGCAGAGAAGGCTCTTCATACGGGAAAGCTTGCTACGCAGGCTAACCTCTTTTGCGAGAATGGTGACCTTTCGTTTTTATTGTATTTTTCGAAACAGTGCCTTGTAGGCAACACTCACGGAAAGTTTAAAAAAAAATCGTCCGACAACTTCTAGTTCTAAGGAATCACCTTAATGACTACCATGCATAATTGTATAAATACGCCATAGATTCAGCTGCCTCATTTGTGTCCCAGACTTACTATTCTTGGAAACCGGTTGTCTTTTTCTTTAAACGTACATTTTAAAGGACCGACGTGTCACGGTTTGCGCATCTTGAGAAGTCTAGCCTACATTTTTCAAGTTCGACGTTTGTAATCCGTGTTAATCTTCTCCATCCTAAACCATCGTTGTTTCTTTATGGTTTACTATTATCTCTTTGGCGTTCTTCTATCTTAATTCCTTAATTACCTATTATTTTCAGGTTTCCTTCATTTTAAAGATAATTTATACTTGGCCAAAATAACTCAAAATGCCACGACTGAGCTCCTTTAAACGTACATTTGCAACTTCTTTGTGCCATAACGGGTAGAAAAATGATTTTTAATATGGAGTTCCTTATTATATACCAGTACAAACAAAAGTACGTAGATAGTATTGATTAGCAATTTACGAAGCTAATTTAAGTAGACCTTCCATTAGCTTACATGTACAAGCGATCTGTTTTCTTTCGGGAATTTTTGATATCCGTATGTCTACAAGTTACTGCCACAAAATGGAAACGTATTAATAGTTGTGAGAATGACTTTCTTTAACTAATAACAGAGTTGCACAGCTTGAAGGAGAACGTCTTTCATTGCAAGAGGATTTTGAAAAAGAGAGGCAACGTAGCAAGCAAGAAATGACCGAAAAAGACAAAGTGTAAGTTGCATTTTTTCTTTTAAAATGTTTAACGAGTTACACAAGGATGAAGTTATGTCAGTGTTAATGCCTGTTGTATTTTAGAAAGCCTTCCCCTTGCATTGTTTGCAAGCGGTTTTTCAGGTCAAACATACCGAAGTGTACATTTACGTTCATTGTTTATCACAGTTTATTTCAATGGCCAGTGAAGGAACGAAGCACAGTTGTATGTGAGTGAATAACACCACCCACGGGACCAATAACTTAATTGTATTAATGACTGCCGGGAGGTGTTCTTATTTATCACTGAGTGTATATTTGTATGTAAGGAAAAATTCCCATCTAAGCACATTTAATGCCTCATTTTGTAATTACTGTAAATGTAACTGTACATGATGGAATCACATTCTAGTAATGGTGAATTATTGTAGATTCGGGTATTCATTTTCTCCCTTGTTGGCCAACTTCTGATGATTGGTCGATTACCGCGACATGAGGCAAGGCCTTCCAAACACGTTAAAGATGACTTTGATGAAGCAAAACTAACAATGGGAAATTGCCTAAAAACATACAAAATGACTCGTAGGTTATATGTTATTTACCAGAAACCTGTGTAACACGATGAAGTATTTTCATCAATCAAGGCTTTTCAAGTCTTTCTGAAACATAAATATGATTTAAAGGCTCTTCCCAATTTGCATAATCCGTAATCGGCCCGTGGGCATTACGGCTGCATAATGACCGCTCAGATCTCGCTCTTAGCCAATCAGAGCGCGCGTTATATCGGCCACAAACCAAAGCCATGTAATAAATACTAGTTATGCAACACTTCGGAGTGGTATACCATAAAATATCCCGTGAGTCACTCGTAATTTCTCGGTATACACATGAGCCTTCAGGCCTTTAAGGCTGCGAAATAGGAGATACAAAAACCCTCAACTTGTCGCGCAACATCAGCAAATTTGTTGCGTGGCAAGTTGCGAGTTTGATGAAAAACGAGCAACAAAGCCAAAATTTGTTTCTCAAAGTAGACCCGCGCTCTGCTTTTCGCAACAACTTTCTTCAACCCGCAACAAATGTTTTTGTTGCGCGACAAGTTGATCACGCAAGGTGAAAAACGGGAAACATCGACCAAAACTTGCAACGAAACAGTGTTGCGCAACAAGTTGAGGGTTTTTGTTTGTCGTAGTTTACCGCCTTTAGACATGGAGATACAAATAAAAAACGTTACCTTAATTTAAATACGTCGCTATAATGTATCAATGAGCGATATGCGATGGGTGTTGCATTGCGACATGGAAAAAGTGGTCAAGTGTAGCCCATTTTGACCTTTTGTGACTAATGACTAAAAACTACTCGGCAAAATTATGCCTCCAAGTTTCTAATAGATGCCAGAGAAAAGGAAACAGGTTTGTCCATAATACGAAATTGAACAGGACACATTTTTACAAGCCTTGAAACTTAGAAATTTGAAATGGTGGTATGTAATGTTAGTGTTACTATAATTTAACTATTAGCGTAAAAAAAATGAAAAATTATAAGAGCAGGGGATCTTTTTGCCTCCCCCCATTAGGTTCGTCGTTAGTGAGATGTCTTAAGAATGCGTCGCGCGTTTCTAGTTACACATTTTAATAATATAGATGTTTAAAAGGCTTGGTGGGAATTCTTCCAGAATTGCAGAGCTTGGAGAGGAGCTTCGTGCAAAACAGGAGGATCACGACAAGGAGACACAACTTAGTAGGAAAGAGTTAGCTGAGAAAGAAA